CTTCTAAATTCTGTTCTCAAGCAGTTTGATATCTTGGAGGAGAATGTCACCCGTTCGTCCTTCTCAACTAGTGGTGACCTCTCTACTTAAACCCCAGAATCAGTCATCGAATCTATAACAAACAACCGCGAGCCACAACAGGGCTTCGACGCGGTCTACATGCTCATGCCCACTTCCGCCAATGTCGACCGCATTATCCGCGATTTCTCCGCAGGACGACAGCAATATGCCGGTGCACACCTCTTCTTTATAGATGGTCCGTTGACCGCCTCTTTTCCTTCTTCATTATCTGATGCCACATCCTCCTGAACACCAAACCTATATAGGCTTGGCAGAGGAACTCTTCCAACAACTCACATCCTCTCCCGCCGAGCGGTTCCTTCGTGGTCTCCAGGATCTCTATGTCAACTTTTGGGGTGTGTCTCAAACTTTCTCTTGCTTCCTCCGCGCGGCACAGCCCTGAATTACCATCGCCCTAGCAATCGAAGCACAGGCTTTTTCATTGCGTGTCCCCGAGAATTTCTTTAGCATGTACAGCCCGTCACGATCAGACAACACTGCACGCGCCGACCGTGACCGGTTAGAAGAAGACATCCGCTTTGCTGCCAAATCCGTACGTCTATTCCTTGATCCTTTTTCGCATCTCACCATTCTCCTTAATCTCTCTTTCTCACGCCGCCGTACACGCAGATTGCGAATGTATGCATCACTTTGAATGAATTCCCTTACATCCGATATTACGTCCCCGCACACCACGGACCTCTCGGTGCACTACGTCCGCGCGACAGCACTCGTGACGTGCCGCGCCCACCAGAGAACTCGCTACGCTGGCGCACAAACCTCGCACGTGGCGAACAGGCGCGCCAATACGAGGCAGCAGAGGCAGAGGTGTTGTCACGTGTGCTGGCATTCGAGGTCCAGGCGGCGCTTGATGAGTACAAGCGCGCGAATCCCGAATTCCCGGTTCGTCTGTGCTGTTGCTCTTGCTATGTGGAGGCCTGAAATTGACAGGGTCGTGCGAGAATAGAAACAGGATCGGGCAAGGCAGCGCGCCACGTTGATTGTTACGGAGCGGGCGATGGACACCGTCGCGCCGCTTATTCACGAGTTTACTTATCAGGCAATGGCGAATGATCTCCTACCCATCGAGGACGGGTCCAAGTACACGTGCGTACCCTATCCTGTGTGCGCTTCTTCTCTTCATGTCGATGGTTATGCAGGTACAAGTTCCAGTCATCGGTGGGTGCATACGAAGATAAGACAGCGATACTGTCGGATGCAGACACGGTGTGGACCGACGTACGACACTTGCACATGCGGGAAGCTATCGACAAGCTCATGGCAGACTTCAACAAGTTTTTGATTGATAACGCGGGGTTCAAGGGGTGCGCTCTGCGTTGTGTCCGCACTTGACAGTGTGCCGATCACTGACGTCTGAATAGGGAGGGCGCTGCTACGCTCAATGACATGAAGGATATGCTGGCCAGTCTACCACAGTATCAAGAGCAGAGGGAAAAGGTTCGTGGCCCAATTGAACGCGCAGCCCCATCGCTCGGAACTCAAAACTTGACGATTAGTTTTCACTGCATTTGAGTATGGCACAGGAGTGCATGGACATTTTCGAGCGAGACAAGTTACCGGTGGTTGCGACAGTCGAGCAAGTACGTGTCTCGAACAGGATCTCACACCAGCCTGTCTTATCAACAGCGCAATTTAGAACTGCTCAACAGGGTTGACCTCAGAAGGGAAAACACCAAAGACTTTGGTCGAAGAGATGGTGCCGCTGTTGGATAGCCGGGATGTCCTGTGTGTCATAGATTGAGCAGTGCCTAGGTGAACTGGAATTTCTGATCAGTCTACCATAGCAATTCCAACAAGGTCCGCGTCATCGCGTTATATATCCAGTACCGAGAGGGCGTCCCGGACGAGGACCGACGGCGGCTGTACCAACACGCACGATTGTCGCGGCCCGAAATGGATGCAGTAAATGCGCTCGTGCATTTGGGCGTGCGAATCAACAGGGTAAGAATGAATTCTTCTATCCACGATCCTTTTCTACAAGTGCTCACATTGGCGCAGGGGCCAGGAGATAAGGACCTCAAGAGACGTATCAAGCAAAAACGATCGAACGAAGAAGAGTACGAGCTTTCTCGATACAAACCCCTTCTCCGCACCGTCATCGAGGTCTGTCCCTTTATTGTCCATCCACCTCTAGTTCGCTCAACTAACCGACTTGGGTACGGTGACAGGACCAAGTCGCCGGCAAGCTCGATCCGGCTGCTTTCCCGTACGTCAAGGACTACCCAACTGCGGCCCCTGCCGCCCTTAGCGCCCAAGTAACAGCGCCGACAACCTCGCTGCGTAGCGCAAAGCCAAGCTGGCACCGCGCCGCCCGGACGGGTAGTGCAACGACCGAAACGCGCCAACGGCTGCTCGTGTTCGTCGCGGGCGGGATGACTTATTCTGAAATGCGAGAGACATATCTCCTCTCGAACCAACTGGGAAAGGACATTTACGTCGGTGCGTGATCCGAATCGATCGATCTTTTTTGTTGCTTGGCGTGTTTTGATTGTCAAGTTGATGGTTGGATGCCAGGATCGACGCATGCGTTGACGCCACGACAGTTCGTTGACGACCTCAAAGTGCTCGAGATCAACGGCGTCGGCTCGCACGCCGCCCCGAACGGACTCAGAGACTTCCGTGGCCCACGGCCATACCAGGCATTCTACGACGAGCGGTATTTTACACGTGACGCGCCTCTGCCACGGCAGCAACAACAGCAGACTCAGAGGGCACCACCATTGACAAAGAGCACGAGTTCGCGCAGCGTACCGGGGGCGTCGGCAACAGCTAGCACGACATCCGTCAACTCGTCATACGCGCCGACGAACGGGAAAGAGAAAGGCGGAAAGGATGACAAGAAAAGGCGGTTTTTGCGGTTCTGAGTTCCTGTTTCATTTGGGAGGAGGGGGGAGGGTCGCCGGATGAATACACATACCTACCTACATGTTATTATTGTTGTGGCACTTGGGTGATGGACGCGCCTTTTATGCGCTTTTTTTTTTGGGAGTGTTGCCGCACCGTTCACAATGTTGACAAGGCCGCGGCAGTGAGATGATTATATAGTGTGAGAGAATAAAGGAACGATGAGAAGAAAAGACAGGAAATGAGTGTCTATGCTGTTACATCGAGCTTGGCTGTGGTAACAAGAGGTTAGAGTCAGCTCAAACGACCCTGAAAAGTGCACTCACTCTCGTGCTTCTTTGCCTCGCCCACCTTCCTCGCTGCTTTCGTAAGGTCTTCGTGTTGGATGTATTCCCTGCGGGAAGAATGATTGAGAAGGACCCGCGTGGCAGGAGAGCGTGACGCACCGGTCGTCTCGGATGGCGAACATCCCTGCTTCCGTCACGACGTTCCGTAAATCTGCCCCATTAAACCCGTCGGACAACTTATGATACGACATATCATCGGTGGTGTGTTTTGGGACGGTCGAGGTTAAGGAGTAAGCGCACCTTGACGATAGCTTCGTAGTCCATCTCGCCGTGCTTGTTTACTGGCCCAGCGTGAATCTTCAGAATCTCAAGTCGTGCCTGCTCATTCGGAAGTGGTACCTCGATCTTGCGGTCGAGGCGACCGGGACGCATCAGTGCGGGATCGAGTGTGTCCGGTCGATTAGTCGCCATGATGAGCTTTGTGCGCCCGAGCGAATCAAAGCCGTCCATCTGGTTCAATAGCTGTGTGTGGGCGCACCATACACACATACATGTGGCGGAGGAATTTCAAAGCATCAGTCAGTCCTATACTGAAGGTCTATCCGTCTGGGTGGATGTAGAAACAGACCTCCATCAACGTCCGCTGTATCTCACGATCCGCGCTGGTGCCCTCGGAGAAACGTCTCCCGCCGATGGCGTCGATCTCATCCATAAAGATCACGCAGGGCTCATGGTCACGCGCATAACCAAACATCTCGCGCACTACGCGCGCGGATTCGCCAATGTACTTGTCAACGATGGCGGAGGAGACGACCTTGAGAAAGTTGGTATCGAGGGTCGCGGCGACCGCGCGGGCTAAGAGTGTCTTGCCCGTTCCAGGCGGGCCATAGAGAAGCACGCCTTTTGGGGGAGTGATCCCGACGCGTTGGAAGAGTTCGGGATTGAGGAGGGGGAGCTCAATGATCTGAGAGAGGCGGTTGAAAATACATGCGCGGGTGCTTGAACCGAATCATCGCGGACGCACCTCGCGCAACTCACGCACTTGCTCGCTAAGACCACCAATGCCGGCGAAGGAAGCACTTCCCGGGTCTTCCAGGCTCATCTTGTACACCATAGGGTCGACTTCTCGTGGGAGTATGCGCATGATTGTGAGGGTGGTCATATCGAGACTGACGCGTGTCCCCGCTTTGAGTTTGTGTGCTGGGAGAGCGGGGCGATATGAGACGACGTATCGCGGTCCTGAAGATGCCTTCACAATGACTGGCAGCAAAGGGTAGTGAGTACTGATTGAGGTAGAGATGGTGTACACGCACAGCGTTCGTCGTCTAGCTGCTTCATGACTTCCCCAATAATCTGACCAACTGATTGCACGGCCTTGATATCCTCCTCCGTCTTCTTGTAGTCCTTTTGTAGGTCTTTGATAGAGAATCGCACTGCTCATCTTTTGAGTAAGATAACGAGTCAACAATCATGGGCAAGACAGACGGTTCTTCAAGGCTTCGCTTATGCCCTCATGCGCCCTCATTTTCTAAGTGAACCCGGGTTAGTAGACGTTCAGAGAAATGCTGATGACCTCTGACATCACGGTAGGCCCTGAGGGCCTCCACTCTTCGAGGATCCATTGGAATTGATGGCCTTTGAGGTGTTGAATCCATAGCGTCTGAAGGCAAGCTGAATAAAGCCCAAAGTGTATGCGGCCCACGCGTCTTTGAATTTGGACGCGTCAGCTTCCCAAAGTTGTAGGTACCGGCTCAACTTGTGAATATTTATTGCCGGACCGGAATTATTGGCCTGGTGGTCTAGTAGTATGATTCCTTCTTAGGGCTATTGGTCATTTGGAGGAGGTCCCGGGTTCAATTCCCGGCCAGGCCCTTTATTTTCTTCTATACTCGCTTTGCAAAGAAATGTTTGTGTTTTTTTTTTCAAACCTTTTTCTCGCCATTTTTCTCATCGTTCACTTTTTCTGTAGTTTGTGGCCAAACGTGTATAAAGTGCTGCGAGCACCTCTCTTCTTGACTCTCACCCACAATGGCTCGTAGAAAGCGCGGTTTTATGGAAGATGGTATCTCGGACTCCTCAGGGGGTTCAGACGACGAAATAACTGACGACAACGACCCTTACCAGCGGAAGAGGCGGCGCACGACCGGTGATGAGAACAGCGAGGATGAGGGCTTCGGAGGCAGGCGCAAACCTACTCAGCGACACGACTGGGCTAAAGCACCGGCTTTCGTATCTAGCAAAACGGCGGGTACGAAAACTACCAATGTCGAACAGTCCGAAGTCATGGATATACCAGACGTTGTGGCTCGCCGCGACGCTGGCTCTGAATCCTCTGTTGACAGTGCCGAAGATCAGGATGCGGACGACCAGGAGGGCGCTGATGCTGATGACACAGACGGTGCGGATGACAACGATGAAGATGATAACCAACACACATCGGAAGCACCCTCACCGCGGGTCCGGGACGAGCTTGACGAGGACGAAGAGCAGCGTCCGCGTTTCGGTGGTCTTGGCCTGGGTGCATCCAAATCTCTTCCTGCAACTACGTTCTCTGGCTTCACAAGGAGCGGTATCGGCGCCTCGCGCCCTGCCGCAGTCTCCATTCCTCCAACACCTTCTCCTGCACCTTCACCTTCACCTGCCCCGCCAGCACCCGAGGATAGCGCCATCCCCAGCAGTCTGCCTTCTGCGTTTGGCGGTAGATCACGCCCACAGCGCGCATTCGTCAGGAATGGCACATCCTCCGCACCACCACCTGTCAAACCAAACCTCTCCGCCGCTGAGAGCGCACATTTCCGCAAGATCGGGGATAGCTTCGGGGCGCGCATGCTCGCCAAAATGGGCTGGGAGTCTGGCACCGGTCTTGGCGCAAATAGTTCGGGTATCGTTGTCCCGATTGAATCAAAAGTACGTCCGAAGAACATGGGTATCGCCTTCAAAGGCTTTGGCGAGCGCACAGAGCAGTCGAAAGCGGAGGCGCGTCGTCGCGGGGAAGTTGTCAGCGACGACGACGAAGAGCTCAAAAAGAAGGTGAAAAAGGGCAAAGAAAAGGCAGACAAAAAATCAGACGCGTGGAAGAAACCAAAGAAGATCAAGACTAAAGTCGAACATAAGACTTACGAGCAGATCGTTGCTGAGGTGGGAGAAGATGTTGCTGGTCCCTCTGGGCTTGGAGTTATTATCGATGCCACTGGCGCAACGGTATGTTCTTTACGCTCGCACTTTGAAAGTAGCTGATTGTCGTCTTCCCAGCCACGTGAAGTCACCTCTTTGGCAGACGTGTCTATGGCATCATGGACGCCATCCACAGACTCTACTCGTATCCCGGAAGTGCGACATAATGTCAGACTCATCGTTGAAGCTACCACAAGGGACCTAGAAGGCCTTGCTCGTGAAGCTAAGGAAGTTCAGAAGAGAAGAAGGACACTCCAAGATGAGGAAGCTAGGCTGAAGAAGAAGGTCAACGAGGAGGCGGAATGTACGTCCTTCCGTCTCTACCAACCAGCCTTACACGGACGCTAACGGGCACGTTTAGTGATCTCTCGCCTGCAGCAAGTCCACCTTGTGGTTGATGATATACAGTCACTGGCTAGACAACAGGCATCGGATTACGAAGCTTCGCTGGAACCGTTCTCACCACATTTCCACAAGCTTCTGTCCCAATTTCCTTCAGAGTTTGATAGGTACAGACTCGACGAAATCGTCGTAGCTGCCGTTGCACCGATAGTATGTTTGATTGTCACCAGAATGCCGAACACGTGCTTACTATTTTACCAGGTGCGACGGATGCTCTCGCGCTGGAACCCACTGGAAGAACCTGACAAGCTACTTTCGACATTCCGGCTGTGGAAGCAAGCCCTAAAGCTAGCAGACCGCGAGGAACGTCCTCCAGATACCCAGGTGGGTTTCCTTGGAGCCAGTGCATTCCCTGTGCCTCCGCCAAAAGTAGATGTACCTATGACTCCGTTCGAGAGCCTATTATGGAATGTCTGGTTGCCAAGAGTCCGCTCGTCTATCAACAATGACTGGGACCCCTCCACCCCCCAACCGGCTGTAAGCCTTTACGAAGTGTGGTCGACTTTTCTCCCACCATTCATTCGCGATAATTTCCTGGACCAACTTATCCTCCCGAAAATATCGAAAGCCGTGGCTGATTGGAGTCCACGCCGTTCAGATGTCCCTCTGAAAACGCTGGTATTTCCGTGGCTACCGCACGTTGGCTTACGCATAGAGGAGTTTTTGGGCGATGCACGGCGCAAACTCAAGTCCCTTCTCCGCGGATGGGATATTACAGAAGGTGTCCCACCTGACCTTGCTGCCTGGCGTGAGGTATTCAACGTAGGCGACTGGGATACCATGATGCTCAAGTACATCGTTCCCAAGCTTGGTGCTACACTGCGTGACGACTTCCACGTGAACCCTCGCTCTCAAGACATGGCTCCGCTCGAGCGAGTGCTCGCGTGGGTACCTTTGCTACGCAGCTCCATACTCGGGCCGTTACTCGTCGCCGAGTTTTTCCCGAAGTGGCTCGACGTGCTACACATCTGGCTTGTACAGCCGCGCCCGAACTTTGATGAGGTGGCACAATGGTACGCCTTTTGGAAGGGCGTATTCTCCGAGGACATACTGGCACTCCCAACTGTACGCGACGGCTTTACGCGCGGATTGCAGCTCATGAACATGGCTATCGAACTGGGACCCGACGCGCCAACACAACTCCCACGCCCGGAGCACCATCGTCACCGCTCGCCAACGCCGGCACCTATCGAGGGTGTAAAGGGAGGGACGTCGAAGAAACCTCCCCCGCGCGTGCAGGAGATTACCTTCCGTTCGATTGTGGAAGACTTTGCGGCGAGACATAATCTCATGTTCTTGCCTGCCGGCCGCGTCCACGAGCGCTCACGCATGCCGTTGTTCCGCGTCTCGCCAACGGCCGATGGGAAAGGTGGAATTCTTGTATATGTTCTCGATGACGCGGTGTGGGGAGCTGACGAGGAGGGGGAGTACCGGGCCATTACATTAGAGAATATGGTTCTGCGAGCTACGAAAGGCACCAACTGATCATTGTAGCTCGAGCTTGTATCACACTGTATTGTACGCCTGTCGCCACTGAAAGAAATGAGTCACGTGCATTAAGCCTAAAGCGGAGGTTTTACCCACGACACCTGCAAACTTTAGTTCCTCGGGTCCAACGCCGCCGCTGCCACGAAAATCAAAAGGTCGCCGTTGTCGACAACGTTTCACTCTTCAAGACATTCATCATGGTCAGTTTCTACAGAAGCTACGTTATTGCTGTTTGTTGGGAGAGATGGGGGCCATTGAACAGGTGGATGGGCTCTGAGAAGGATGGATGGCGTTGGGATTGGATGACCCGATCTCTCCCTGCAACGAGTAGCCGGTCCATCCCCTTACTGATTTTTCTATTTTGCAGGCACGCGGACCCAGAAAGCATCTCAAGCGCCTCGCTGCGCCCTCTTCATGGATGCTTGACAAGCTGAGCGGTACATACGTGCGTTTCTTGCTACCTCATGTCCTCTTCTCGTCCTACTTGTCTCTAGGCTCCCCGCCCTTCTCCTGGTCCTCATAAACTCCGAGAGTCACTCCCCCTTTCCATTTTTCTCCGCAACAGGCTGAAATACGCCCTGACTGGTCGCGAAGTTACTTCAATCGTTCAACAACGCTTGATCAAGGTGGACGGCAAGGTCCGCACCGATAATACGTATCCTGCAGGTTTCATGGGTGCGCCAGTCGATAACCGTGCCCTTCTCGATGAACTGACACATTTTTTGCAGATGTTCTCTCCATCGAGAAGTCCGGCGAGCACTTCCGTCTGCTGTACGATGTTAAAGGCCGTTTTGTTATTCACCGGATCTCACCCGAAGAGGCGGTCTACAAGCTCCTCAAAGTGAAGAAGGTTGCTCTCGGAAACAGAGGCGTTCCTTACATTGTCACTCACGACGGTCGTACAATTCGTTATCCCGATCCCGTTATCAAGGTAAACGACACCGTCAGATTTGACCTTACCCAAAACAAGATCACTGGCATCGTTAAATTTGATACGGGAAATCTCGTTATGATCACTGGCGGTCGTAACATGGGTCGTGCGGGTGTTATCGTGCACCGCGAGAAGCACATTGGGGACTTTGACATTGTCCACGTAAAGGACGCACTGGATCGTACTTTCGCAACACGGTGGGTGGCGGTCTTTCTTTGTCACACCAGCTAACTTAAATGATATGATGCGTAATCAGGATAACAAATATTTTCGTTATTGGCGAGGGATCAAAGCCTTGGGTCTCGCTTCCTAAGGGCAAGGGTACCAAGCTTACGATTGCTGAGGAACGCGACGTCAGGCGGAAGCGGGCTGCTGAGGCGCAATGATGGTCTATCGTGTTGTCTTTCCTATTCATTGTATGTCATGCTCGTATGTTTCAACCCGCTAAAAAAAATACCGCATGCCCTACGTTTCTGCGAACGGTGAAGAAGCTTTAGAGATGGCCTCTCTAGATTAGCACACGGTCGGCTTAAAACACGGAAGGTTTTCTTATTCTTTCTCGAACCGTACAACTTTTAGTGGCTCAAAGTCGTATCTTGGTGGTACGAGATTTTGAGCCAGCAGTGCCAATGACCTGTTATTAGTTTTACTCTCGGGAGATCCGAAAGATAATAGACAACATCAGCGCAGGAAGCCACACATCCGTTTCTCAATATGCTACGTGAAAGATGTGCTGTAATTCGAGGTAATTACCTCTATCTACCCAATTGTACATCGCCTAACTTAGTTTCTTGTTGCTTATTTTTAGAATGATGATGCGAAGGTTCGCACGGTCCAACAAAAGTCAAAGAGAATCCCAAATTGGTCAACGCTAGTC